GCAAGGGGGTCGGGGAGCTCATCTGAAACTCACTGTTAAGAGCGGAAACGCAAGTTATTACTTTTCCTCTGATTGTCGCTCAGATTTAATATGCACAGTTTACATTTCCGTGCAATATTTCAGAGGGAAGTTGATATAGAGAAAGCTTTCAAATACAAGAATATCTTGAACTGAAGTGCTATCAATTTTATATGAACAGCAAAACTCACGACTTCGTTGAAGAGGAGGGAGAGGCTGGGTCGTTAGGAGATTCTCAAGAAACAAAGCTGTGGACGGGAGTCCTGATAGAGTGTTAACTGAATTAATATTTTGTGTTTGTAGATTCGTCACACCCATGTTCAAGACGGAGAGGCGGGTGGGATCACGCAACAGATCGGTGCTACTATGGTCCCTGTAGACGCCATCAGAGAGCAGACGAAGATGATTAAAGACGTAAGAAATGAATGTGTTATATTATTCATCGAACGTTGGTCCTCGTCATAAGAACCTTGCATGCAATTATGAGGGTCGTTTTTCTGCAGCTGTTATTTCTTTTGTTGCCCAGATTCACTTGTGGGAAATTCTAAGCGCCGAGGCTACAAACCTTGGAGAACTGGACATCGCTTCTATTGCACACAGTTAACATCAGAAGAGGCTCGAAGAGCGAAAGATATATTGGTTTAACTGTTTTTCAGGTCAATTCTAAATTGTGCTTGGGCTGAAAAAGTGTAAATGACGTGATTTCTGGTTTTTCGAGGTGCGAAGCAGATGTCGTGTCTTGACAAACTAAGTGATGGAAGTAAATTGATCTTTCTAGCTTCATGAAAAAATGTTGTTCTTATTTCTTGTTTCAGTTCCAGTCTTTTGACATTAAGCTTCCTGGTCTTCTTATCATCGACACACCAGGGCATGAGTCTTTCAGGTAAGACTGTTTTCTCAGCACTATTAATTAATGACGTGTGATTTGATCACAAATAGTTAACAGACAGGATTGCAAGTGCGGAATTGATCCTGATTGTTAAACTCCATTGAAAAAGCTGTTACATAACGTAAAAAAGGAAAAAGGAATTGAAACTTGAACGCGTGAACCCGGTAACCTCTAACCCTTAGATCCCAAAGAGTGACTGGCATCTAATTTCTCCTTACAGTATCACCCCTGAATCACACATTAAGGTTATGAGAATAAAAGAAATGATCACCAACTAAGGAAGCTCTTGATTATTAGACAAATTATCCTTGTCCGAACCTTAAATTTTGTACTGAGAACAATATAGAAAATATGCATACTGACCCTAGAGTTTAAAGGGTTAAATCTTCATGGTGTGTCTGGTTCTGTATTGCAGTAATTTACGTTCCCGAGGTTCATCACTGTGTGATATGGCCATTTTAGTGGTAGACATCATGCACGGCTTGGAACCACAAACCATCGAGTCACTCAACCTGTTGAAGAAGAGGAAGACTCCTTTTGTTGTGGCGCTGAATAAGGTACGACATTTTAGTTGGTTATCTGTTTTCAAATTTGAAGCTCATAGCGTATTGTGAAGCATCCCTGGCTGTATAGAGAACGTTTCGAAAAAGAGGTCGAAGGAAGTGTTGGCGAGGACGTGGGATTGCTTTGTACCACATACAGGTACTAGCAACTTCAAGACGATTGAATCGGGACGGATTTTTAATTGTGAATGAAAAACAAAACTTTATCGTTTTAAAGGTTGACAGGCTGTTCGAATGGAAGCGAGGACCTAATTCTGGCATCGTAGACACGATTAAGAAACAGAAGAAGAACACCAAGCAAGAGTTTGATGAACGAGTGCAGATCGTAATCAAAGAGTTTTCTGAGCAGGTTTGTGATTTTCGTACTTGCCAATCTAATAAAACCTTTAGATAGTCAAGTGGTAAGGAAGTCGCTAACAAGAGATTAGAATAAACCAAAAAGTGGTAAGTGTAGCACAGAATGTAAAAGATTGACGTGATT